GACCATGGGACCTGTAAAGGGCCCGAAACGTCGGTTTGTTTGAAAAAACAAATATACGCGATTTAAATCCGGAAAAATAGTTTCATTTCCTATGTGTAACAATCGCGAAAACCTAAGAACTCGATTTTGATATTCTTTTTTTTGTTGGAAAGAGGGTACCTCACTCAGTAGTGGTCCCATTTAAATATGAAGAAAATAATCCACCTCTAAGGATTGCAAATTAGGGAATGAATCCGGTTTCGCGCACTTTCCGGTGGCCGATTTCAATAAAACTTGGCAAATAGATGTAATTCCACGCACATTTGAGGTCGGTTTTTTAGTACTCTGTGCTGATTATTGGGGTACATAATTGTTTTAACTTTGATATCCTCCAAATGCCGTTTGAATACTCACGTAGTGATAACGAGTTCATTCAGGTCGAGATGAGTAAGTAAAGCGTGGAGAGAAGCACAAAATGGCGCGCCGGTTGCTAGTCGGTCCCGAATCTGCGCTACGGAAGCTGCGTACGTTCGTTCCCCACTCCACGCTGCCCAGGCGGCTGCTTCTCCACCACCTTTTTGATAAATTTATTAGAGATACCACGATACGTGAATCACCGCATACGTCGCGTAGGTGAGAAAAAATAATACAAGAATATTAATTGAAAGAAAAATAATCATACTATAACTTGTTTTCTTGTATCATATTCTGAGCCTATTAAGTAGGTAGGTACAATGACTGCAGTAACCATTTTAATTAATAAATTTAAGGATGTTGTTTATTGTGGATTGATTGCATTAAAAGTCGTGATAGGTTGAATTGATTAACGGTTTATATTTTACAGTGAGGAATTTTTGAAAAATCGTTCGAAATTATTCATTATTTCGGTCCGGGGCTTCAATTAGCGCTAGTAGGTAATTTCCAACCAAAGTATTAGATAACAAACTTACGTGTATTTGCCTGGTTTCTCGTATAAAGTCTTAAAGCCTCAGCATCAGCGGTGTGCGGCTGATGGGTGACAACGCTTTTGGCGCATACCTGAACCTTTACTGCTTTACCTCGCCAGGTCACCTTCGCGTCTGCTACGAAAAGAACACTTTCGAGGGCACGCCATTCTTCTGCCCTGGAAATTGATATTATTAAACTATTAAAGTTTGTAAATACACTCATGGACATTATTATTTAGAGCAACGTAATAAAAACGTTGAATTATGATAAAACGTTCATTTGAAGCTCTGGCCACATGTAGGTACCATGAGACGTTTAATTTGAAAAAAGAATAAATTCCACCGTCTTTTGATTTCGAAACGTTCTAGTATTTGTGTCAGTGGCTTGATCTATGGTGGCATGTATGAACGTTAACAGAATTAAATCTTAGGAAATGAAACTATTTTTCCGGATTGAAATCGTGTATCTATATTTGTTTTCTTTTTCCTTCAAAGAAACCAACGTTTCGGGCCCTTTATAGGTCCCATGGTCATGGTCCGGATTTAGATCCGGAAAAATAGTTTAATTTCCTGTTTAACAATCGTGAAAACCGAAGAACTCGATAGAATTAATTTTTTTTTAGCGTTCCGCCCAGGAATATACATCATTTGTACAGAGCGGTTGCTTGTTTCGTATATGCACTTACATAAAATAAAAAGATGCCTATTGTTTTATTTCTTTGTGTAGGTAGTATAATTCTTAGGTACATGTGATGATGCTCATACCTTTGTATGGTATCAATATCGAACATATCCAACATGACTGTGGCAGGAGTAGTGTTGTCCATTATTTCCACAGTTCGGACGCACACGTCGACTCCTAAATAAATATATACATACACCGTAGTAAAAGCATTATGCCATTCAAATAAACGAGAAATGTATAGGTTTATGTACCTGTTTTGGTCTTGATCATTTTGGTAGGTTTTACCGTTTTAACGACGACTAATAAATCCACGTAAACGTTTGCATTCTCTTCTGTAAATAATGTATAGCATATAGAGTAGGTATTACGTACACACCTAAATATTATTGCGACAATCTCCTGTGGGTGAAGCAAAACTACAAAGAGTCTTTTCCACTTGCAGTCTAGCATACCCACTTCTCATTCTTTTTCCACTCGCATCTCCTTTTTTAAAGCTGTTCTACACCATTGGTTTAAAAGGCGAGCATGTGAATATGAGATTATTCAACTCTATACCGAAACGGTCCAGAATGTACAGTCAAGCTTGTTGTGTTGACTGTACCAGATAATCTTGTTAAGTTCATAAATAATAATAATAATGATGTGATAGACAACTACACCACTGCCTAGTCTGAAACTAGAGAATTCTCGGTATTATGAATGTTCCCTGCGTTCTCTACTACGCTCTCTGCAACGAAATTAACTCTGGTGCACTTCCCAGCACACCCAGACTAGAACCAATTTGGAAAAATTCATTTCCCACTTTAATTGGTACTACCAAGAATCGAAACCAGGATCTCTTCATCCTACGCACACTATTTTTTATTGTAAAATTGCATACATAACAACACTATACAATAACTTAAGTAAATAGATAGGAAGTTAATGTGCAACAGGTGGCCTTATCGCTATGTAGCAATTTCTTCCAAGCAACCTAAGGTTAGAAATTCGGTATAAGCAAATGCGAGCAACAAAAGAATATCATTATAAATTTAAAAAAAATAATTAAACTGTTTATTTCAAATATTAATAACAAGTTACAGTACATGCAAGGTAGAATCTTAAAATTAAAGATTATTTATATCGTTTTCTAGTGAGTTGCGTTAATATGTAGGTACAACAATTAAATTAATGACCAGTTTGCGTATGCATCCTCTGATATTGATCTTCCATGTAAAATCTTTTTAACCTGTTTTTGACTTGAGTAGGCTTTTTATCCGTTATTTCATTTACAAAATTTTTTGGTAAGCTATTTAATATAGCAGGAAGTTCACACACTCTTTTACCATAATTATTGTTATATTTAGGTATATCATACTTTATATATTATATATAGGTGGGTAGGTAGTATATATAGGTAGATGAGATAATGTACGTAATGAATTCGGTCTAATTTTAATTTTTAAACGACTTGATTTTTTCACAATTGTCGGTTATGATTGCTGATTTAACTTTATCAAAGACATTCATTACGTTACAGTACTGAAATAGTTGGTCATAATTATCTTTAAAAAATATACTACATAATTAGTAGATACTAATAAAACATATACCTAGATAGATATTATAATATAATTGTACCTACCCATATACAAATAATATTAATAAATAACAATTAATTAATTAATAATATTAGATACTTATACAGATACTTTTGAAGGAAAAATAAGAAAATGAAGTATAAATACAAGAAATAAATGATTGGATAGCGGAGGTTTAACTTACAACTTACCTAGTTTCATAACTTCAGCAAGGCCGCAATAGCCCGCTGCTGGTTTTGAAGGGATATGCAGCAGAGGTAGGAATGCACCGAACGTGTCACCGCTGTGAATGGTAACGTCTGACACACCCTCATTCAAAGATAGGTAGAACGGCGAAGACACCTTTGGAAGTAAATGATTTATTACCACTTTATTTATACGGCTCATTTCCACAGTCGAGCTTCACTGCGAGTAAGTTGCCTAAGCCATGTGTATATAATATATATATAATATAATAATAATAATTTATTCTCAGACAAATGAGCCACAATATTTGTCAGTAAAAGGAGTACTTAAGCTAGTGTTAGTGTGAACTTAAAAAAATAAAAACATAAAAATAATATGGTTGCACGTGAACGTGTATGTGGTGTGTATAGAATCATGCCCAATGCACGAGTGACCGCATACAGAAATTAAAACACCACAGGTGACCGCGCTTAACCACGTGTACACACGTACAAACATACCTTGCACAAATTTTCCTGCGGTGAAACTCCAATAAGTAGCTAGGCTCAAAGATACTTATTTACGTTTAGATTAGAACCAATAGAGCTCCTTGTGAAAGAGTTCGTCTAGGGCCCAGGGAAATACTGCCACCTTAACTATTTCTGCCGCCAAGCAGTAATGTTAGCATTACGTGTTCCGGTTTAGAAGAGTAAGGGTGCGGGTGAAACCACAGGCACATGGGACTTGTCAACTTATGTCTCAGGGTGACGGGCGCAGTGGCATTGCCCCGTGCGATCTTTGCGATTTAAAGCTCTGACCGGCACTGCAGCTGTTATGCACAGGCGTGTAGCTTACCATCAGGCGGGCGAATTGTTCGTCCCGTCACTTGATATAATAAAAAAAAGTTTTTTGTGAAAAATACAAAGCTCGTGATAGTTATTACCTGAGGTCTGAAATTGTGATAATCGCCTCCTTTTATACACAGCTTAGGGGAAGTGATTTCCACTGCAAATAAAATAATTAATGTCGTATGTTAGATTAGTCTAATTTAAGATATGTAGGTAGGTACTTGTTTAATTTTCATGTGTAGAAGGTACACACGCCAGCACATCAATCTATACATTGACGTATGTTGTTCCGTTGCACTGGAGGCGATTTTCAAACAAAAATGTGTAGTCTGATGTGGCGTTGTCCGTACAACCATCTCCTATATTATTATCACTTATGGCCGGTTTAAAAGAGTTCGGGTGGTGAGCAGATGTAACAATTATTTATCAAAGGAATGTATGTAATTTTCATCTGGAGAAGGTACACACGCCAGCACACCAATCTATACATTGAAGTATGTTGTTCCGTTGCACTGGAGGCGATTTTCGAACAAAAATGTGTAGTCTGATGTGGCGTTGTCCGTACAACCTTCTCCTACATTATTATCACGTGTGGCCGGTTTAAAAGAGTTCGGGTGGTGAGCAGATGGAACAATTATTTATCAAAGGAATGTATGTATCTACTTCCACTTATCACATCTTACTTTATTCATATCAAATAATCTTCGGAAGTTTACTCACCAACATCACCGACGAGAAATCTTTCATAAAAGGTTACTACATAATATTCGGATCCCCAAACATCAACATTGATAGTATCAACTTCTGAATCTCTCAAAGTAAAAGATGTCACTCCCCTGGATTCTCCGTTTTTCTTCTTAGAACCTATTGTACGAGGACTGTTTTTTGCTATAATAATACCGACAATGAGAGCATTTTTTAAGTTTATATTTAAATTATTGAGACGTACTTTCTGTACTCCCGCCATTTTCATGAAAATTTAAAATTTCCCGCCATTTTCTTTCAATTGATTTATGAAAAACTTTATAGTTTTGTCTATTCCTAATATAGATTTTAACATACACAAAAATAAGTGGTTTTATTTTGGTGCAGTCGAGCTTCATCATTGCTTCTGCTTCATCACATCACCATCTCTTTACTATGGATTTTTTTCCATCCTTTAGATCATTAGGACAAAAATTCGTTTAAAAACTCAAAACAAAGATCTGCAACTAGCGCATAGAAAAATTCGTAAGGTGCGCTGGTTCGTTGCGTGGCTTAGTTAGCATCAAGTTGGCAAGTTAATACATTATGTTGGCACAGCGTTTGGCACAGTTTGCTAGAAGACGTTGGTTCAATTACAACCAAAGATAAGCAAAAAAATAAAGTCATTGTTGTCGTACTCGTGCACATAATTTTAAATTTTTTTTTAAATTTATTGCTGGCCATGGAAGCAAAGTCCTTCAGCCGAAAACATAAACGTTTAATTATATTTCTGTAAATATGGCCACCACAAAGAGGATAGGCAATTTGAGGCGGCGTGCTTGGATTGGCTTGCAGTGCCCTAACGGGGTCCATATGAGCACATGTATTTAAGTTAAGACCTTTTCTAACATATGGTGGAAATGAATAAATGAATATGAATATGACTCGGGATTCCTTAGAACGGGCCGATACGGGTATTTTAGTTCGAGATTCGTATATAGTCATATTTTTTTGAACATGTCGTATGTAATTTTTAAAGTCATCAAGATCTTTTAAATTCAACTATATTTGTTGTTGTATATCCTAAATAGTTTACGGACGCTAAAATTATATACAATAAATTAATTAAAAGATGGCGTAAACAAAATGAAATCAGAGCTTGATTTCTCTTAGTTCTTATTTTTTTAATTTCAGGATTTAGGCGAACGAATTAGTAAAATGTAACTTAAGATGCAAAAATGTAACTTTTCCGATATCGAAACGTAATTTTGAACTCGCGTTGTAGATGAGTATATAAAGATGGAAAAAAAAAGGATATGACCACAGACATTATATCTACATCTTAGAGGATGGAAAAAAATTAATCTAAGATCTAGATAGACGACTTGCGGCGTCTATCTAGATCTTTACACACACACTTATACTATATATAATATATATACTTCACAGCAATTTGTGTGAAAACCAAGCGTGCCACATTTTTTTTGTACTCCCTATGACGTCACAAGAGCTCTTTAGTGATGGAAACCTGAATACCGTAAACGCGCGTATTCCATTCGATTAATCGATTCTACATATAATAATTTTTGTTCAAGTATTTGTTGATTACAAGTAGTCGTAATAATAATATAGTAGAAAAATACTAGAATAAGATAGTTAAGTCCTTTATTTTACTTGTTTTTAAAATATGTTCAGTACTTAGGTTTTCGCGATTGTTACACATAGGAAATGAAACTATTTTTCCGGATTTAAATCGCGTATATTTGTTTTTTCAAACAAACCGACGTTTCGGGCCCTTTACAGGTCCCATGGTCACGGTTGACTCCTACACGTTGAATGTTGAGTACCTACTTAAAAAAATTAAGACTTTAATTTTTAATCGACTTCAATATTGAAATTATTGTCCTTCCAATAAAATGAGCATATTATATAACATCTTTTTGTAATAGAAGATCTTATCGATTAACTTAAATAATTAATACGCACGTCAATATATGAACTTGCGACTGCCTTAATTAATTTTACTAGATGGTTTTCTGTTAGTAATTGATCAAATTAATGAATGCCAAGACAAATGAAAATGTTACTGCTTACAAAATATGGTAAAATCTTATTAATCAGAGGAGGTTTACTTAATGACGTCGTCGTGTGAATTTTTTGCGATGTGTATATTATTTCTCGGATTTCTAACTCTGCTATGCAGAGGCATATTTGGATATCATCTTAGGTGGAATAAACTAGACCACCTTCGTCCTCGAAAGCAACGAACTCATACGCATTGTTAATTCTTTGCATTGTTTATATTTTTGTATTGCTAGTACTACATATCCGGCTATATATGTAGTTATTTGCTCTCTATATTCGGACATTCGGAAATTACAGATAGTACTGATAATAGATACTACAAACCTGAAAAAAAAAAATACTAAACGCTATAACAAAAGAGTTATAGAATATTTTTATGATATTGCTAAGGCCATAATAATTTTCGTCCCTCAGAATCGAGAACAGTGTTGCCTATGAAAACAATCACTAAATGTTAAATTTGGCCAAAGAAATGTAGAAGCGCTCGTATCACGAAACTGAATGCATTATACAAAAGTGCATTCATTCGATATTCATGGCGTATTAACAAAGGAGCACATATATATCGCACCAAGTAAAAGCCGCAATGTATTACAAAATAGGCATACACTCGGTTGCATATGAATGAAAACAAATGTTTTCTCGAAATTCATACAAAACCAAAATAATTGTTTTTAAAATAAATAAGCATCTTCTGATTACAAAATCACTTGCTCGTGGAAGAAAACGTCTATGTTTATCCGTTTACCCACAGTCATGGTGCTTTTGCAGTTAATAATGGACAATTATGCATATTTCGCGTTATCGACTGGTGTTTATCTACTACACAGGTTCCCAAACTTTTAAGCTCACCGCCCACCTAGGCAAGATAAAAACGCCCACCACTACAAAAAATAATACAAAACAAGTATTTTTTATATTAAGTTAATATAAAAAAATCACAAGGAAAAAATTATATATGTGTAGTGTAGTGTAAATAGATAATTCTGATATTTTCTGCAAATGCGGTAGGTAGCAGCCTCTGGACAGCATCAACGTTCCCAATTGCTTCCGAGGCCCTACCCTAGGACTCCTCGGCGCCCACTGGGGGGTGCTACGGACCACTTTGGGAAACTATAATCTACGATAACGGTCGAGCGCGTACTGAAGTGTAGCAGCGGCAAGTAAATGAATTTCACTTACTTTGGGCACGCGAAGTACGTACACTTGCGGCTTCTATCTAGATCTTAGAGTCAAGGTACAAACACAAAACAACCATCGAACAATAAACACTACTTTCAAATCGATGTTTTTTCATTTGCATTATCGAATTCACCGTGTCAAGTGCTCCATGAAATATGTCGTCTTCCAACATACAAACTTGCAAAAAAATCTCTGCGACATCCAGTCTTGCCAAGGAGGACTATTTTAACATATTTTTTTCACAATATCACATTGTTTAAATTTATCGATTACATAGAGAATATTTGAAAACATTCGAACATTTGACATAAGCATACCTATGAAGTTCCTTAATTACTGACAGGCAACCAGGCTTAAGGTGAATTCACAATGCAAATATTCTGGCAATAAATTGCCACGATTAGCGTTGCGCGATATGACCTTGAGTTGACCAATCAGGCGCTGCGATGCTTTTAACGCGTGATGCAATTTAAAAGCTTGTTTCAGGTACCTAAGCTTTTTATCGCAAAACGCGGCAATACGAGTAACGATGAACTGTCATTGTCGTTTTTATGCAAGTATACGTTTTCGTTATAATCTGAAATGTTTTTTGGGGATGAAATTTTAAGTTTCGTGGATTTAGTGGATTCTGCATTTTAGCTGCTTAGTAGTAAAAATAAATTGACGGTGAGTGTTTTGTATTGTAAAAATTAGTATATTTATGATTTTAAGATAATTATCTATCTAAATTTTTCCTCGTAAACTTCAGTTTATTTATTTTATTTATTTCAGACAATCAACGGCGTTTCTTAAATAATATTTAACAAAATAAATTATATTTGTTTGAAAGGCCAATAACAGATCGCCCCGTGCTATTTAGAAGGTAGTCGGTAAAAAGAAATTAAACATAAAAAAGTGGCAATTGTATCCTCTAAGAAAAACCAAATAGGTGTTTTAAATTTAAGTAGTAGACATAATGTAGTGTATAGTTAGCTGGTTTGTCGAATTAAAATAGGAAATCCAACATAGGTACAAAATGGAAGAATAAATGGAATCGACAAACGATGAGGCATGTTTATACCTAACGTCTTCCTTATTATTATTAACCTATAAACTAAACCTTTGTAAAGGTTAGTAAACTAGTATTACTAACCTATAAACACACCAACAAAACTCACAAACGTCAAAAATACGAGGTCTCTCAACAACTATTGTGCATTCGCGATCAAATCGCACTTCGCTATTGCCACCGCGCAATGCGTTAAATTGCCGCAATTCTATTGTGCCTCATTTCTGTATTGTGAATCCACCTTTAGAGCATATAGGACGGGAGGAGCTATAGCGTTATTTCTCGGACAAAACTTTCTGCCACTTACTACAAACCAACAGGTGCACTCAAATGCAAAATTGAGTAGTGTCACTATGGTCTCACACAAACAAAAGTGTAGAACACAGGCTTATTTCTACAAATTCACAGATAAGACATACATACATGTCATGTCCGTACACAGAAAAGGCCTATAAAAATAAATCGATTCTCATGAATATACTAGAGACGGAAAGTTATCGACGTGACTGGTTAATCATATATATGAAAAATGTAATTCCACCTTTGGCTAGACTGGATATAGTGAATGTCTTTTTCCAATTTTGTGTGTAGTGTAACAGTGGTATTGTTTTACTTGTATTTGCGAGGGGAGTTTAGTCGTAGCGCCATCTATGTGAAATCTATGAAAGTTTTATCACATAGTTAATAATAATATATTAATAATAGTTAATAATAATTATAATAAACTAGTGGAGTGATTTCACAAAAATAATTAATAAAATAAATAACAAAATAAAAAGGTATTTATTTCTCCACAAACCATAAAGAACACAATACTTAAAACACGAATAGAAAAAAAAACGAGTGATGTGGACAAAAAGGTTAAAGACTCAGCATTGCTGATTTTCAGTCTTCACCTGGCTAGCTGTTCGCTTGCTGCACCAAGCTAATATGAGTGCTAATTTAAGCTAATAGGAGTGTGCACTAAGTAATAACCTTCCTATAGTAAAAACTAGTAATAAGTTGAATTTTATGGCTGTCCGTGTAAATTATATATATTTTTCATACATGTAACCAAAAATTTAAAATTTTGTGCTGATAGGAGTTTTAATTGGGGACCTGTATTAGATTTTTGTACAGATAGGAGCCATTGCTTACATCGGTTTTTAAAAGTAAGCATAAATAAACGTTTTAGCGTTTTTTACTGGAGGTGGAAGGTCATTCCAGCACTTTCTCGCTGCGAAACGAAAGCTGCTTCTGTACAAAGTTAAACGAGGGAGAGTCAATAACTGAAGAAGCGGGTACCGCATATATCGGACATTACCACTGTGTAACTGATCACTCCAGTTGAGTTTTTGTGCCAGATACTTAGGAGTTGACGAAACCCTCAAGGTATACACCAGACTGTTTAATTTTAAAATATATCTATTTCTCATATTTAATAAATTATAGGCATTTAAAAAGGGTGTAATATGACATCGGGGTGGAACCTTGAAACAATACGGAAATTGTCCACTTTCCAGTGATTTATTAATAATGGCTGTAATTGCATACAAGGAATATGGTAACGTAAGATTAATCATCACTAGTGAAATTCCATCAGTTCCCTCCGCATTAGAGGACAATGAGTTTAAGAATTTCTTGATCTCTTTAATAGTAAATGAGGGAAAACTAAAGGTGTTACAGTTAAACGAACCTGTCAAAATAATGTCATTGTCGGACAAACAACTCGAAGGAACAGTATCAATGAAAGATTTGTTAATGATATTAGGATCACTCAAATGAGCAGGTAATGTGGACTGATTTTTATTTCTCAGTACCCGATTCCTTTCACATTTGTCGAGGATTTTTGATGGAACAATTAATTCTATTGGAAAAATAAAATTGCTTCTCACTTTTTATTATGCTGTTCACCATATTGCGCAAAGATTTATACGGTTTCTATCAGGGTGATTAGGAATCTTCATGGGAAACTGCGCCAGTACAAATGCATCATCTTACTCTTACTCGAACTCTGAATACTTAGGCTTTACAGTAGAACTACAGCAAATCACATCAAGGATTCACATTCACATTCACTGTGAAGTAGATGTAATTCTTGTAGCGTCAACAACCACCTGTTGTAATTGAATATCAATTCAATAAAAATTTAAAATTTACAGTTTAAATTAAATGTTTTAGTTTCTTGAATATTTCTATACATGTCAGTGTCACTATGTTTGTAGAGGTTAACTCCGGCCATGCTTGTCATTGGCTCCAACGCTGACCGCGAAAAGCCATAAACTGAAAAAAAAAATTTGGAAATTTTTTCGCGGTTTTTGGATTAGACTTTGGATTGTATTTATTGTAATCTATTGATTGGTAAGTCATTGGGCAGTCTCCTCTGGCAAATACAAGTAAATCCAGTCTAGCTAGGGTGAAATTACATTTTTCATATACGTGATTAACCAGTACGTAATACATATCGATACCGTCACGTCGATAACTTTCCGTCTCTAGTATATTCATGACAATCAATTTACTTTTATAAGCTTATTTGGTGTAAGGACATGACGTCAATGTGTGTTTTATCTGTGTATTTATAAAAATAGGTTAGTGTTGTCAATTGTTGTTTGTTGGGACAATAGTGACGCAACTCAATATTGATATTGAGTGCACCTGTTTGTTTGTAGTACTACCCCCCACTCCTCAAAAAGTGGCAGAAAGTTTTGTTCGAGAAATAATGCTAATAACGCCTCCCGTTCTATATACTCTAAGATCTAGATAAATATTTGTGGATGTGATTCCCATCACTGACTGTCACTGTCATGGACTGAAAATATTTCGATTTACACTGAATCACTTGTATCCATGGGCATGAAATAAACTTAAAAAAGTAATTGTCACTGTCAAAAAAAAACCGGGAAGTTTTAGTGTTTCACGTCAAATTCACTTTTTTATTGTTATTCAATTTGATTAAGGTGAAATATGTTATTCAAAGTAGATTGCATCGATAATGGTCCTGATTTTCAACCTGTGGAATTGGAAAGACATGCAGCAGAGTACGCTGATGGCTCGAACAGATTTTATCAAGTTTCTCGGGATTTCTCAAAGCAATACGCTCATATTTACTCAGCGAGATTGAATACCTTTAGGAATATATTAGGTCCAATAGTTTGGAAGAAGTGGGGTGACAGTTATAAGATTCTGAAATTGTGTGAACTACGGGAGAAGAATACCATGTGTATCATTATCGGAACGCTGTTTAAGCTACAAAAACTGAAACCTAGTATCTTGAAAGAGCTATCAGATCAACTGGAGATCATTCCTCAGCCAGTAAGGTGAGTATAAAATTGGTGTCTAGATAAATTCATATTTTATCATTAAGAGTTCTATTTAAAAAACAAAATGCTAGTTTTCTCTGTTTATTTTATAGAAAATACAAGATGTTTAATACAAGTGATTATATACTTTGTTGATATCTGAGACCTAGTCTTAAAAAGCCCATACAATACCAATGTAAATTAAATTAATTAATTCATAATATTAATAAGTCTAAAAATAGTCTTTGTTGTTTCTAGGACACATTTTGTGCATGAAGGAGACAGCCTTGTGCTGGAAGACGAGTTGCAAAGAATTAAGCTTACTGGTGATTGTATTAACATTAATGAAGTGGTAACCGGAGTTGTCTGTGCATTGCTTGGTTAGTAAAGTAGTATTTCTGGCTTTGAATTTTACTGTCATGTGAGCTTTATGCAACAACAATGTACCTTACTATAGCCTGTTCTAATCCATTTTGAACAAAAAGTAAACAAACCTGTTTGGTTAACTTAATATAAATAATATATCGAATAAGTAACACTTACACATACATATTTTGAAGATTTCAACTTGATATATCATCACTTTTTCTAACAATATTCATTTGAAAAGCATCGTGAAAACATATTTGAAAAACGGTAGTCCAAAAGTGAGGTTATTATTCATCTATACTTCTATGACTTGCCTATGTTTGCATAGTGCTGTTCAAAAAAACATTTGGTTCAATCAATTAAAGTTTAGTAATCGATTATTATATTGAACATTTCAATCACAATCAAACGAGTATCTAAGTGTACGGATTTGAAGGAGGATTTAAATAGAAATTTTGAATATGCTTATATAGGTTATGTAAGGAAAACTGCTAATATGACTCAATTGAACAAATCGATTCATTCAATTAATTAATCGATTTGAAGTTGGCGTTACAATTGGCCACCACTAAATTGTCTATGGTCGGGTCAGTGACTTGTTTTTTTACTTTTTGTTCAAAATGGATTGAAACGAAGTATACTACTTCTATCTGTTGCAGGTTCAGAAAATGAAGATGGAGTATTTACAATGAAAGATGTTTGTTGGTCTGGAAGTCATGTCCAAAAGCCTCTGCCATCACTTAGTTCGGACAGGTTTGTATATACCTACATGTTTGTGCTGTAACTTTTTAAAAAGGAAATAAATATTTACTTGCTCATGAAATGTATCTAGTAACATTAATACTAATTTACTGCAATTATGTAACTACTTATTTGTAATCATATTGCATTATATGTATATTTTAGCTCATAAGTATTATCATTTGTTATGCCCTGCTGCCTGTTTACCAATGCAAATGAATAAAGAAATAAATATAGCGGTACTTTTAACTTTCTTAACCCATCCATGGTTGTAGTGTCGGTTCAAAAATTGGCTCTAAATTGTACAGTCAAGAGCATGTCAAGCTTGACACTTTGTACTTTGGACTGTTTGTATCATAAGCAGCATAGAGTTGGATTTAAATCTTAAGCGCTTAATCTCAAGCTTGACTTGCTCTTGACATCTTTAAAAGTAAAAGTAACTTTAAAAGTTCCAGCAATGGAGGCAAGAATTTACCTAATCACTAGTTTGTCAAGTTTTTTATATTTATGTGCTAAATTTTTTTAGGTATATTGTATTAGTGTCAGGACTAAACTTGGCATCTAAAACTGCTGATCACCTTTTTTCATTGCATTTACTATTGGAGTGGCTGTGTGGGGTCACTGGTACAAGCCAGTATCAAATAGAACTTTCTAAAATTGTTAGAGTTATTGTGGCAGGTAAGTGAAAAATACTTGTCTTGGTTTTGCTGTTCATGTTGAATAATTAACTTCCCTAGAACTCGGAGTGGTTATTTGTTTATTCCCTTTAATTATAATCTATTTCCTCATAACTAATCATCACTGTTAATTCAAGCTATATCCACCTTTATTCTTGACTTTGCATTTCTATAGTGTTTTAATTTCTTCATACTGATGCGGCATATTGGTCTGCTGACCTGTTCGTAATTTTCTTTCATTACCATTTTCTAAATCATAAAATTTTAAAAGTCATAAAACTCTAATATACAGGTGGAGTATTCTCAAGCGAATCATCTGAAAGTTCTTTCAATGAAGCAGCAGTTATATCTGCTACGGAGTGTATAGATTCATATCTAGCGGCCATCAGTGCTGTCACTCCCTTAGATGTGATGCCAGGCTGTAAAGACCCTTCAGGAATCATGCTCCCACAGAAACCTTTCCATTACTGTAAGTTATATAATTATGTTAATAAAATGGGTTTTCTTCAATTTTTTTTTGTATTAGCATATAAATTTAATGACAAATCAACCTCAATCTATCTATCTTTCTTTCAGGTTTGTTCCCTAAAGCAATAGAATACAAATCATTCAATAGGGTTTCGAATCCATATGAATGTGATATTGGCGGCAAGTATTTAAAACTTATGCGATAGCAGATAAATAATTAAAGATAAAGTAGGAATAATTTTATATTACTTTTATAGTATTACCATATGAACTTGTTATACAAATAAAAAGTGTACATGTAATAACTATTGTAATGTGTAGTACTTGATGATTATTGTATAATAAATAAACTTTGGTACAGGCTTTATCTGTCTCGGAACATCAGGAGAACCAGTAAAAGATATAATGAGGTACAGCAACCTAAACAGTCACATAGAAGTGATGAAGAAGACATTGGAATGGCGACACCTTGCACCTACATGCCCCGATACTGTGCCTTGTACTCCCTGTGTTGATATTGACCCATTTGTTATATACAATTGCCCAGCCATCTACTTCTGTGGCGATGCTGATTTATTTGCCACTGAGATGTATGAAGGTACTATTTTACAATTGGATTTATATTAGTTAAATCTGTAATGCCTTGGCCATGTGAGCTATAATAAAATGCATTAATCATGCATTAATCCATATTTTTTTCTACTTTAACAAGTAGCTGTTATGGTATGCTTAAATACTTAAGATTTTAATTCACATTACATGTACATATATGTTTATTGATATTTTTGACATTTTTGTTTCATTACACTCACCCAAATTTACATATATAAATTTGATAATAGGTCTAGTTAACCAAACCAAACCTTATTTGGTTAATCTATTTTTAATATTTTACAGGAGAAAATGGCCAAAGAGTGAGATTGGTGTGTCTGCCAGACTTCTGCAAAACAAAGACTGTAGCACTTATCAACTTAGCTAATCTAGAGTGTCACAGTATGATGTTTGGATAAGTTAAATGGTCTTGTGAGACAAATTCATTAATAATTTTTATTTAATAAAATACGTTTCTCTTGCCTCCTGAGTATTTTATTTATAAGATTATTGTAGATTATTTAGTTAATTTATATAATTCATTGTAGTATTAGAGTATAAACAATTTGCTAAGACTAGACAGCAATGGGAAGCTGTAAGTAATTATGTAAATAATAGTAATTATACGTAACGTAAGTAATTAATGGTAATAACTGTTAACTACAAATTTTGATGCAGTGATGTTTGTCAGTTCTATTTTTAATTTCTTTTCTACAGAATGAGTTGAATTTATTTCGTGTAATATTGCAGACATAGTAAATATGAATTGTACATCTAAAAATGTAAATTGTGCTAGTGATAAGAACATCCTCTGGTAGTCACGAATAGAGATGGAAAAAGCTGCCAATTTTTTTAAACGTTTAAACATTATAATTTTTTTTAAAAGGCGAACTTTTTTAAACACTTAAACGCTTTTTAGTTTGAAGCTAACAAAACCGCTTAGAAAACGCTTAAGCGCATAGACTTTTATGTTAAAAAAAGCTTGCAACGTTGTTGTGTTGATAGCGAAACGCAAGAGTAGACCACTAAAAGTTTTAAGATAAGTAAGTTTTTTTGTAAAAAACGAGTTATATTTTTATTTATGACATAACATTATTACATTAACATTTTGTTCATTGGCGTTTAAAAGCGTTTAACTTTTGTAGTTTGTAGCGCTTGTAAAAGCGCTTTTCACTTAGGGTCGTATTCCAGAACTCTACTCAATGCTCAAGTCAGGATTTGAGCAGACTTGAGTATGATTTCAAGCACTGGAAATACGACCCTAATGGCAAGGACTCGAGTATGATTTTCAGTGCTCACTGCAATACTCAAGTCCTGAGGGTCGTATTCCAGAACTCTACTCAATGCTCAAGTTCAAGCTCGACCCTAATGGCAGGGACTTGAGTATGATTTCGAGTGCTTTAAACATTGACTTATGGCTTTAAACCATACTCAAATCCTGACTTGAGCATTGAGTAGAGTTCTAGAATACGACCCTGAGTTTATTTTTCCCGCCATTTATACTTCGATGTTGCTATTTTTATACCAAAGATGTTACATTTACCTTTGGTCTGTAATATTCCCGCCATCTCTTCTTTGATATTGCTATTTTTTGTATTGAAAACCTGCACAATTCATGATTTCGTATATCAGTTTAGGTCTTTTACTAGATACCAGTGCTTATATACAGTTTTTAAAATAAGGACGTTAAATTTATTGCAAAATAAAGTACAAACTGTGTAGTGTTTAGATAAGGTTTATGTACGTATGTGCATTACTGAATTATTTAAACAGGTTTTTTTTTACTTCAATATTGCAACATTAGATGGCGCTTTCCTCCCCCTCTTCGCCCCGTCCTATTACTCATCAATGGCTCGAAGTTAATAGACGTGTATTGGTTTTTCTCTTTCTATATTGCGATTCATGATGGGTTTCTAGTTGCAAACATTGCACGCGGCCGTGTGCCTTTACACACAATTATAAAAATGCTGTAAGTACTCATTTTAAGTGTTCTTAAGATAGTATTAAGCTGATGGAGTTTTACGATTGGTGCAACGCATTCCGTGTTACTTTCGCTACGCCGAACGTCCGGGTGGGCTAACGTCTCGTGAGGCCTATTATTACGATAAACTTCATGACTTCAAGAGCGATTTAATAATCGCTCATTATTATAAGTGTTCATGCTCCACTTGCATGTTCCATGGCGTCATTCAGTCAACAAACGCGCGATGACTTTATCAGCTTTTTTGATCAACGAAATATGATTTTACACCTTATGTAAATAACGCGGGATGTGGCATGTGTATCGTACTTGTTATTCGAAGAGCTTTTTTAGGCAGTGATGAAGATTGCATGTTCTTATGCAAACTGGCTTTTTGCACAATATGTTATTATTGTAGTCTATTTCTCTTGCTTTAAAAGCGAATGAAAACAAGAGTATAATGCCACATGTACCTACGTATACAACTAAACAAGTAAATAAACATTCCATTAGTACCTTGTAAACATACGAAGCTATATATAACCCTTTTACTGTGTACATTATGGAGTTGAATTTTAGGTTTGAACTTTCATAAGCTAATGAATTCTAGTGACGAAAATTATACTAACAATTATTTACAAGATTAGATGTAAAATAAAAAAGACAAGTATATTTAATGAGTATCTATTTTGTTTGTCTTCACCTTCTCAATTGTAGTCATTTAGTTCGGCTTTGAGTTAAGGTCACAACACTTTGATGATGAAGTGGCACCAGAAATAATTGTATATTGTAATTGCATCTTGTAATTGCTCACGCTGTAGTCCCACAATGCTCATGGAAAAGCAGAGTCTGCAAAGGCCCTTAAATTACTATTGACACTGATGAAATTTTAAAAAGGGCACAGCTAATAATAAAAAAGAAGTACAGGATAGTGTGTTTAGTGTTAAGTTTGGAAAGTTATTGAGTATTTCTGTATCGATTTTGTTATAATTGTTAGTACATATAAAGGTAGAAATTTGATTTTTGCATTGATCAATTCATACAATTATCAAAATCGCATTTAAGGTGGTATCAAGTATGAAACTTAGAACACCTTCATTTTTAATTATGAGGTCTTCACTTTATTGCCAGTTTGTATAAAATTTCCATCTGCACGCATTTAAAATTGGATAACTCGCCCACAAAGTTTTTTTCATTGCCCCGTACAAGGGAAACCCTGTATTTCGGATACCATGGACACACACATAGGACAGCCACAAATCATACCCAAACTTACAAGGGAAATAAATATTTTTATACCTTGCAACTTACATAATAATTATAATTTGAATAGTCTAGCGAACCAAAACTTTTGGACATTTGAGAAAAAATGAGCACTTTTCAATTGATTTCAGTTTAAATCTTAAGTGCACTTTAAATATATTGATGGGTGATTTGTATCAACTTTTGAGGAATTTTGTGCACTCAGAAAGAAAATTATCTACTGGTTGTGAAGATCAACATTTTAATGAATATTTAAAATGCATTCAAGGTTCAATTGATGACAATTGACAAGTGCTACTGGAACTTCTTTGTTGTCCATAGACCATTTTAAATATATAAACAATTTTGGTTACTTTGACCATTTAAGTAATTTTAATATTGATTGTATTCCCATATTGTTGTAAATGAAAGCTTTATAAATTTCAACTTGAGGCCCTCTCCTTTGACTGAATTTGAAATCTTAAAGAATCTTTATGTGAAAAAAAATTGTTATATATTGACTTCTTATATTATTAAAAAAGGATGGACGTAGATGGTAGAGTGAAATACGTTAATTTAAAGAGACATGTTTATTGTTCGGTCTCCAGAATATAAGTGAGTAAATTATGCAATATAAAATAAAATGTAAACTTAAATGCTAACCAAGCAACACGCACCACATGTTGCAGTTAGACTATAAATATAGTCTATCTATACTACAGACTATTCAGGTCCTTTTGACATTGACTGTACACCCACTTTAGTTTTTTTAGTGAAAGGGAAAGTATTTTTATTGAAAGGGAAAGTATTTTTATTGAAAGGGAAATCCTATAGAATCATTATAGTGTGGATAATAATTCAATCATTAACACTCACTAAAGGTATATTAGTCAGTACCAAACAATATCAACATCTTTGTATCAAAACAAATCATTATCCCAAATGCCTTTTTTATTTATTTTATTTTTTTTAGCTACATGAATTTTTTTTGTTTATGTGGTAATTAAATACGTCACGCCTTTTTCAGAATGAAATAACCGCTTGCTACGATGCTAACAAACGTCCATATTTTAAAAGAACAGTCACATTTGCTAATTGGTGTCTATGCATAGCAAAATTACATTTGACATAATTTTCCGAAACTTATGTTTTTAAATTTTTGAGAGCTGCTATAATGTCATGGGTCATGTCATGGGTATCATGGGAATATGCAATGGATCTACGTATGTGTAATAGATGTGACACCAATATAGTACACATTGAATAAAATTCATCACAAATACACCATTTAACCAAAAATAACACATAGATTTTCATAACAACACGAATAATTTACAGCAATTTAAAAATGACCACCAAACAATTTTTCAACTCGACAACAAGATTTTCTCGACAGTATATTCGACGTGTCCAATAAAAAATATTTTTTTCCGTCAAATGTAACTTCATCGTGTGGTGAGGTTGTAAAAATAAATATTTAATTATACTTAATATGTATTATTAATTAGTGGATTTCAATGATCGTGTGTTTAAAAAATATGATTTGTTTAAAACGTCTCGTTCTAATTTCATCGTCCTGTCGTTATAAGCAAGTTAAATTTTCCGGAGTACAATACAATAAGTGTGGGCTTGGGTATTAAGACGAAGTACACGTTTGTATGCAACACATAGATAAGTCCATGTCAGCATTACCAAATAGTTTTGCAACTCGGTACCCGTGCTGCCTTTCCAAATGTCGACACAGTCTATAAGGTAGTAGTTACATTTTCTTATTCTATTACGCTGAAGCTGCATTGTGGTGTAGTAATGCCGATGTTAAATGAGATCGTTTTTATTATTACTTATCTCCTTCATAAGATAGCATAGATAATATTTTCATTCTTTACCCTATCTTCTTTATCGTAAGTACACTGGATGTATGGTCAGAACATAGATTAAATGTAAGGGTCAGAATGATTAAAAATAAAAGACAAATAGAAACAAAAAATGTTTTATTTGCAATCACAAAACTTTTTTAAATAAACTACTTTAGTAATTGCTAGTTACAAATAAAATATATTAAACAAAGTACAATGCAATAAATCAGGAATTGCAGTTAGTGGTATTATCGACGCCGTGTGTATCATTTCGATATCTCCAATGAACACTACTGTTTTCACTTTGTTTTGATTCCTTATTTTTTTTTTACAAATTACGTTTTTTTTTCGAATTTAGTTTTTTGTGTCTTTATATTTTTAGCAAAATTCGGGGATGCATTAGTAAACAAATAAGACTGTTTACAAAAGTAACGGAAAATAACAAAAAAATAAAATGGACGTAGTGTTCATTGGGGGTGTCGATTTAAACTTTAGGTAAATACAATGTGTTAAACTTTAGGTAAATACAATGTGTTAAACTTTAGGTAAATACAATGTGTTAAACTTTAGGTAAATACAATGTGTTAAACTTTAGGTAAATACAATGTGTTAATTTGCATTCTCGCCATATTATTCAAAAAATAAAGTGAAAAAAAAATTCGTAAATTCATTTCAATTCATTTTTTTATTTAATTGCGGTAAACAAATTTGATTCAAAGGTCATATATTGCACTTGCACTGCATCGGTATCAGCACTTGCAAACATTTTGAACAATTACACATTAATTTTATAATTAATTACATTCCATTCTAGTTACAAAAAACGTTTTTCAGTCAAGTTTTCTAATTAATGTAAATAAATAGTAAATTATAACAATACTAGTACATAATCATAATTTAAAAAATAGGTAAATAAGCGATCGAGAAAGATTACGTATCGCTCGGTGAAGCGCGTGGCGGGGTCACTGCCCTTGCGTGACTGTGAGACAATTTTGAAAAACTTTTCTATACCATTAGCCAGAATATTGAACAGAATAATTTTTATAATATTTTTAGATGATTTAACGTTATTTCTATTATTAATTTCTTAAATATGGCGAGAATGCAAATCAACATACTGTATACTCTGCCAACTCCGATTTCTGGTTATAACATTACTCGATGGTTTGTAAATATAATATCTAGTGATTTTTAAATTGTTTTCATTGCCATGACAATGATGCAGTGTGATGTATCAAATAAAAGCCATTTCATGTAAAAGTAAGGAAAGGAAATTAGCTACACTGAACTGATCACGCCACAAGTAGCCGCCATGCCGAACAATGCATGGTATATATTTGCCATCGTGGTGAAAGGATTTGCCAATCGGTGTAAGGTACTCGACGATTTTTGGCTAGGGTGCGCCAGACGTATTAGGAATACAATTCGTACGTCATTGGGCTGCTAAGTGCATCCCGTTTTGTAGTTAAATGAGGAAGAGGGTTTTTAGTAAATTCTTAAGGATTCTTATATTCCGTTTTTTTTTTCATGGCTACTTAAAAAATGTAAATACGATCCACTGTAGTATAGTATTGGTACCGACGATGGCACGAGTAGATTCGCTAATCGAAACTCAGCCAAGGACACACATTAGCATGCTTTGATTAAGGTGAACATGACGTATTAGAAACACATTTTAATTTTTTTTTATCTTACATTCGTGCATGAACTCAAAAAATAAAAACTGAAGAAATATGGTTGCCTTTTTAGTAATATATATTTTGATATAATATTTTTTCAGCGTTTAGACTTACCTAATTGATAAGCTAATAACTATTTACCAATCTTTGAGTCTAATCCAGTGCGGTACTTAAAATCTTCTCAAAAACACTGAAACTTACATTCGTATTTATAATTTTATTTGTTCTTCTATAAAAGATTTTTAGCGTGTATTTGGATTAAATAAAAATTGTCGCTATTCTCAGAATTGGAACTTTACCCGCAACTGAAACTCTTTATTCTCAGTTTACTCCACTTTGATATGATGATGACGACTCATTGAAGACTACTTAATGCCTATAAAATATAAAGGACTGGGGCCTTACCATGAACTCTTATTACAATTCAGAATAGGTTCGTGACGACAAAAAAGCTGGATGGTAATATACACTCCATGTAGCGCTATCTCACAACGACTCATTTTAGGTCCCAAACTGGGGGTCTACTCTCGATCTCCGTCCGACATCCGTCCGAAACAATTACTGTCAAATAAGTAATATTCGACAAAATTAAAAGACAAGTGTCAAGTATGAAGCTTCATTCGCATCACGCGTCTTTTCATTTGGTCAAGTATTGCTTATTTGGCCGTAATTCTTTCGGACGGATGTCGGACGGAGATCGAGAGTAGACCCCCAGAATTGTCGAGAAGATTTTTCGGAAGACTGCGAATGCCTATCTACCTAAAACAAGCAAAGAAAAATTCACAAAGGGTTAACCATATTGTTATACACCTTTGCCTTTCCCTTTACGGAAAGAAATTTAAAAAAACAACAACAATTTTTTTTAGAGGTGTAAGCGACCAGTGGAATATTACAAGAAATTGATAAACTGTTAGATATCAGCTGCATATCTAATTAAATATTTTTATTTAATTATTATGTTTTCCAGTGCCAAGATGGCGCTCCCAACGGACAACCTCGTCCTTCGATCACAAATACCACCACAATCGGAATTTGATCTCTCGCGGCTTGTACTTCAATCTGTGGTAAGACTTTTTTATTTATTCAGATTGCATACCGTCAGATAGAGACCTCCACAGAATAGGCCATTCTGAAATAGCAGAGAAATATCCGACAGTTATAATCAATCTTATTTAATATGCGATTTTTTTAAATTTAATGTTTTAATCTTTTGATGCACTTGCCTTACCTTTAAAACATGAAAAGAAAAGTAAAAAATCATTGCAGTTGACCTTTAAAGGAGGAAAAGTCGATTGCACTGTAATTACCCTTCTGCACTTCAATGCTCTCATTAATTTTGTTCTTTGTATTGAACAGATTTAAGAAAAATGAATAATTCAGGACCTACCTAAACCAATGATTTTATACACAAAAGATCTAAACACTTTATAAGTACTGTTTTAATTTTAACACTTTCTATTATCCTAAGCAAGACGTATTTTTAGTATAGAAATTTTGTGTAATTAAATAAGCGCATTTGTGGTGCCTATATATACGAGTATAAGTTCAACCTAGTTCACAAATAGTTAGCATTTTTGTGTTAAAAGAAAATTATACAATTACATGTAAAGCGGGCCGTAGATGGATGATGCTAGCGCAAGATTGTAATGGATGATACAAACTACGGGAGGCCTATATGCTAGGACAATAATGAAGATGAAACGTAACTTTTGTTGGCTTGAATTATTCCAGAGTGAACCAACCAGCAAAAATGAGTGCGAGTCCGTGGGACGACTTGCCCTTGGCTTCGGTCGACGGGCTGCTCTCCACTGAAGAGTGTTTTATGCTGCTCGATGCTGACTTCAACGATGGTTGGTATCTATACTGCAATGTTTTGTCCCAAATTAAACCCCAATATTAATTAATTGCAATTGACGGACATGTAGCTTAATATAAATGACTAGGAATGGGAGCGAGAAAGCACTTTATTTTTCTGTCTATTTAGACAGGCATGAAATTAATCACCGCCATAGTGATTGTTGTACATACGAAACGAGGCGCCTTAATGTGTACAAGCAATGGCTACGCACTATTGAGTCTTGTCTCGAATTTAGTAAGAATGTACGTAGCGATGGAACATAGCTGTTCTTTTTGGTTTTACAGTAAAGGCACAAACACCAGGCGATAGCCATCCATCTTTGTCGCGTCGTAGTCCTACAAAAACTGGTATATGGCCCCTGTTGTATTTTTCCTGCATTATTTATAGAGCAGTTTATTTTTTGACGTCAGGTGTTCCTTTACAAACAACACTACATATGAATCTTACGAAAACCTCCAGGTATGCCTAGGTCTGAGGTGACGTATCTTAAGTTATCTTTTTTGGTTTGGTTATTGAATCGGAATATAATTTTGTGAAGACATTGTTTATTGGATTTTATCTTCTGAACTTTAGCATGTCTATGTCTTGTCTATAATGTTCACAATTGATTATCATCATTTGATTAACATCGAACATACTAAATAGAAACCTATTATACAAACACTCACTAAATTTTATTATGGAAGTTGTTTATAAAACTTGCAGCACGCTTGCACGTGGTGCAATTACAGCGTAAACCAATGTGCTATCGTACACAAGTTTTATGCTGCGAAAGTTATTTGGAAATCTGTTTCCGATATGTGTAGGAAATTAATTTACATGTGCTATTGGTGTACGTTATGCAATTTCACGCATTTCGTAATGCTGTGGTTACAGTCATAGGTTCGTATTCTAGAACTCTACTCAATGCTCAAGTCAGGATTTGAGTATGGTTTAAAACACTTGATATCATACTCAAGTCCCTGCTATTAGGGTCGTATTTCCAGTGCAGTCCTGACTTGAGCATTGAATAGAGTTTTAGAATACGACCCTAAGTCTCAGTAACCACATGTAGTGTTGTAATTAGAGCAAAAGACACGCCGGCCCTCACATTTCCCCCAGTAGGATGTAGGATTGGTAGGTAGGTTCAGTAGGATTATGTATGTCAAAATGTTGGTGTGTTTATTCGCGAGAATTTGTGTGGTTGTCATCATCCCCAAGAATAACCCCAAGATTCCAAACTCATGTTGACCCATGGGCAGTTCCTACCGGAGTGAAAAATTATAAAAGTCGAAAATGCAATGTGACGCTACACTATTTTAAATTTCAAAGATATGTTTAGAAGAGTACTGGAGATGTTATAGAGTGTGTCGGAGGATATTTAATTTACTTTGATTTTATATGTCAAGTGACGGGACGAACAAGTCATGCGCCTGATTCTAAGCCACACGTCTGTCCATAACAGTTGCAGTGCCACTCAGAGCTTTAAATCACAAAGATCTGAGGGGCACAGCCACTACGCCCGTCAACCTGAGACGTAAGTTGACAAGTCCCATGTGCCTGTAATTTCACCAACACCCTTACCCTTCAAAACCAGAATGGATTTGATAAAAAGGAAATGGGAGTTTTTGCTTCTAAAAGGCAAATGCAAAGTTGAAACTGAGTCCCACGTAGGGCGAAACCCGAGTTGCACCTCCTGTCCTCTATTACCCCCAACCCCCGGAGTAACCTTCTGTCAAGGCTAGCCCGAAGGCCGAGCTCCGTGTAAGGCGAAACTCGGAGCGTTCCCATTAATTTTTCTCCAAGCAAAACGAGTAACGTAACAAATCCGTCGTCTAGAATTCTTGGCAGTTTCTACCGGCACCGGAAATTTTCTCAAATGGTGGATCAAAGATGATCGCCGTTCAAAGTAACCTTTTTTGTATTTCTACAAACATTAATACTGCCCTGCTAAGCCGAAAGGCGCTATCTCTGAAATACTTTTAGTTTTTTAGTTTTTTTTATACCATTCCACAAATATAATAATTTCGCGTATAATGTTATAATAGAAATAGAGCTATCTAACTTAAAACTTTTAAAAAACCACTAAGAAATATTTTTAAATAAAATACAATTACATAAAATGCAATTTACAAAAAGATGATTTTCCCAAAACTTACTCAGGTTGAGATAGCGCTTTTCGGCGTATCAGGGCAGAATAGAGGAATGCTTTTACTTGCGCTATTAAAGAAAGAAGTTAACTTGATGAATAATAGTAACTATATCACCGTAAACCGAAACAAATCTAATCTAATATATATAGTCTATCAAAAATTAGTTCGCAAAGAAACAGTTGTATTGACGACAACAACCAACCAACAAAACCTTTTAAATTTTTGACTCAAAATATACAGCTCAGCAGTGCGACGCGTTACATCTAGTTATTATACTATATAACAATGGGTTAACATTCAGTCATTGACTTTAATTGTTCTGCCAGACAGAGAGATGAGTCAAAATGATTATTTATACTGCCCTGGGGCCCTTTGTGGGCCCGGCGCTACACGTGACATTTCGTTAACGAGTGTAGAGGTTTGGCCTGCAGCTTCACATAACCAGTAGCATGAGTCGGACCTCTTCGGTATTTTAACCGAATCGTTCGATTGGATATCGTTTTCGAATAGAAGGTGCCTTTTCGACCTATTCCGAACATTCGTGATGAACATTCGATCCGAATTCGGATGCGATATCGGAATCGATTAGAATCTGTGTTGCTTTTACGAAGTTACTCGGTAAAGTATATTATATTTATAAAAAAAGAAAAATCCTGTTATGGATATGTTTGAGACAATAATATTATAAAAATAATAACAATGCACACACTCAACATAGGCCCGCACTAGGGAAACCCTGTGTCGCGGGTGCCACGGACACACATAGACAACCACAAATTACACTCAAACTCACGAGAGAAATAAATGTAGGCCATACAAATATTTCTCCATACCCGGGAATCGAACCTGGGACCTCTGCCTGGCAGTAGTCCGGCATGGTAACCGTTCGGCCACAGAGACAGTTAGACAATAAAGGTCTAAAAGATTTTAACACCTTTGTCTTTGCAATAAACTAATTTATTAAAACAAGTAACAGATTTTCACACGTATTTTTTGCGTTGTAAACATACACTTAACTGTCAGAACGGAACTTTACCTTTTCCTAATGCAAATAATTAAAAAAATAACAAAGTTTAGTTTTGTTGTAAAAAAAACAACAATCTTTATTAAAGACTACATTATACAATACGGTGCG